AAAATATTATGATAGTAGACCTACTCAGTAAGATAAATGCCACAAAATACAAACTATATGCATTGTATAGTGTATGCATTTACACATACCTACGTTAAATAGGACAGTATTTTTCAGGTCAATCAAATTTGCTATTCATCAATAAAATTATATATTTATTAATTTGATTTAATTCTCATTATTAAATAAATATACATGGTAGGTATAACTTTACTATATATGTAAGTAATATCAAATAGTATAGAAAATATTATACAAATATTAAATAACTTTACTACCTACAAACTTTACTTAAATATATAATGATCTTTTTATTTATTAATATAATAATATATATTATATAGAAACTGTAGCAGTATTTGTATGCTACATTAAATTATTAATTACCAAAATAAGAAAGTGGCTATTTGATTACCTCAACAAATTAACTCACCTGACAACTGTAATATTATATTGATATGTATGCATTTATTAGTTAATAACAGGGACTGGAACCGTACCGAAATTGACCAGTTTTGGACCGAAATCTTTTGAAAATCTTAGGACCGAAACCGGACCGGAACAATTAAATATATTTTTTTAAGAAAAGAAACCGAAACCTATATTTTGATGTAGAGGTTTTTCCGGAAAATCCAATAGATATTTCATCTGTGGTGAAAATAGGTAATAACTAATAACTAATTATTAGTAATAATAAATAATTATAAAGTCGTAGACCTAAATTTTGGCGTAATGACGTCGAGGAAGGTGACTCGGTAGTCGGATTGCTTACGAAATGTTTTGAATTTTTTTTCACATAATTCATAACTTAATTTTGCGTTGTCAGTGACTGTAATGGACGCTGTCCCGGCCGCACGTTGCCTACCCGGATAACATAGATGACTGACCTGCTAGACACCAAAAAATCAGACGGTGGCTATATGATTTGAATGGACAACCGAAATATTTTGAATTTTCTTCACGTAATTTATCCTTTAATTTTGCGTTTTCGGTAACAGTTATGAACGTCGTCCGCGATTCGACGCAGTCGGATTGCATACGTGATGACGTGCCCCAGCCAGGGAATATTGTCGGGCTGCCTTCCAGCTTGACTACGACCAAAGTCGAGGAACGTGACTTTATATTATTTTTTATATTAGATTTTCATAATCATGGTAGGTTCTGCGTTATGATTCTATGTGCTGTAACGTCGAGTAAGGCGACCGACCTGGTAGACACCTAAACTAAAGGGCAGCTATAAAACTCGGCCGTCGCACATTGTCATATATCCTAGAAGTTTTACTAAGGCGGACGTCATTCGAGTTGACTGACCTGGTAGAGAGGAAAAAAATCGCGGCAACAATATGTTTTTTAACGGGATTTCGAATTTCCGTGGGCATTCGGCGAACGTTGTCGGCGAACGTTGTTGCTCACACGGGCTACCACGTGGAACCACGGTGGTGCAAATCTCATGACACAACGACCGGCTAGAGACCGACGACCAGATGATATTTTTACTTAATTATCCGTTTTCGGTGACAGTAATGAACGGTGTCCGCGATTCGACGCAGTCGGATTGCATACGTGATGACGTGACACGCGGCCATCACACATTATCCGACACCCACAAAAATACGAACAACGTCGAGGAAGGTGACTGACCTGCTAGACCCCAAAACATATTTTCACGTAAATTATATAACTGATGACACGAACCGGTCGTCACGTTGTCTACCTCCAACATCGTGTCGGTTGCCTACAAGGATAACATAGATGGGTGACCTGCTAGACACCAAAATCAGACGGGGGCTATATGATTTGCACGGACGCCCGAAATATTTTGAATTTTCTTCACGTAATTTATTCTTTAATTTTGCGTTTTCAAGGGTGACTACGACCAAAGTCGAGGAACGTGACTGACCCGCTAGACCCCAAATACTATTACTACGGCGAACGTCATTCTAGGTGACCGAACTTCTAGACACCCACAAAAATTACTATATTATTTTTTTACCAAATTTCGAATTTCTGGTGGCGTTGTCGAAAAGACTCTGCCCTGGCTACCACGGGCTACCACGGGCTACCACGTCGAACCACAGTGGTCCTAGCCTTATCACACATCCTTATCACCATACCTCCTCATCACCCATACACCGTGTCGGCTGAGACCCACGACCGCACCATGAGACCACCGCTGCTTCCGAAATCGACAACACTCGGGGCCCGGTCACGGGGGTCTGGGGGTGTCCCCCAGCGACGCTCGGAGAGCTAGTCAAACTATATAAAATGAAAACCCGAGGGCGCAGCCCGTGTACTAAATCTGTACCATCGTAAGGGAACTTCCAATCAGAACGCTCCGTTCCGTTTCCCGGCGGCGGCGGAGCCGTCGCTGCGTAATCAGCCTTTCTTATCACTGTTTCGAGATTTTTTCGAAAATTTTCGAGTTTTTTGAGTTTTACCCCCCTCGGGGGCCTCGTGCGGCCCCGCTCGGAACTTATTCGCGTTCCCCGCTAGATTTACAGGCCGCGCGCGGCCGTATTTTCTTCCCGGAGGGCCCGCGGCGGCCGATCTCGCGCGCGATACGAGCGTCGCCGTCGCGCGCGTTTTTCGCCGTATTTTTCGAAATATCGAGTTTTATCCCCCTCGGGGGCCTCGCGCGGCCCCGCTCGGACCTTATTCGCGTTCCTCGCTAGATTTGTGGCCGGCGCGCCGTCCTACTTTTTCAAAAACCGAGTCCCCCGGCGGACGAATGAGTCCCCGACGCCGCGGCGTCGTCCCGATTTCGACGGTTTTTCCGACTTTTTCCAACAGAGTCGCGTTTCGCTTCGTTTGTAGACTTTTCACCTCCCCGCCGAAGACGTATTCGAGTTCCCCGCTAAATTTATAGCCGGCCCGCAGTCCTACTTTTTTAAAAACGAGTCCCGGGGAGGAGCGGCGACGCGTAAACGAGAGTAGGTACCGAGTCCGTGAAGTTGGCACTCCCACATTGAGATATCGACTTCAAACCAGTGCCAATATTTTGCAACTGATTTGCAACAATTTGCAACACCGGTTTTGAAATTTGCAACTTCGCCCATTCTCCGGGAAATCCGATTTCCCGATGGGGGCGCCAACTTCACGCAGCACCCCCACTTTGAGATATCGACTTCAAACCAGTGCCAATATTTTGCAACTGATTTGCAACAATTTGCAACACCGGTTTTGAAATTTGCAACTTCGCCCATTCTCCGGGAAATCCGATTTCCCGATGGGGGCGCCAACTTCACGCAGCACCCCCACTTTGAGATATCGACTTCAAACCAGTGCCAATATTTTGCAACTGATTTGCAACAATTTGCAACACCGGTTTCGAAATTTGCAACTTCCCCCATTCTCCGGAAAACTCGATTTCCCGATGGTACTACTATCAATTATCACGGCCATTTTTTTAAAATTATTTTTTTATTTATTAACGTTATAAATTATTAATAAATAACACCTAATTCAAAAATAATTTATAATAGGTACTTATTTAGGTATAAAATATAATATAATTCATAAAAGTTATAAAAAAAAATTAATAGCTCTGAGGGATTTAAATTATAATTATAAATTTAATTATAACTTTTCGAATTCCGTTTATTATTATTTAGTACTTATAGGTACACAATTAAATTTTTTAAGTTTTTAGAAAAAAATATATGATTTTTAACATATTATGGTACATTGACAAGTTTTATAATCTTTAAAGTATTATAATTATAAATAACTATTTAACAAATGTGACTTGATTTTAATAATTAACCTAGGTACTGTATTATTAATAAATAATAGAATAAAAATTACTTATATCAATATAGACAATAAAAAAATATGACCTGTGAATTTGATTTGGTGCTAAAATTACTTAAAAGATCGAGCCTTGGTTATTACTGCGCAATTTTTTTAAATTATATATATTAATTATTAGTCATTATTATAAAAAATTGCATTATTTTTTGTAAGAAATAATTTATTTATAATTTTTAAGAAAAATAACTCAAATTTAATTTATAATATTGATTAATAAATATTAAATTGACATTTTGGTTAACATATTTTATTTTATTTTAATTTTTATAGTATTTATTAATCAATATTATAAATTACATTTTGAGTTATTTTTCTTAAAAATTATAAATAAATTATTTCTTACAAAAATTAATAAAAACTATGTATATTATAAGAATTTATTATTCAAAATAATGATTAATAAATACGATTAATGAAAATAATAAAATTAATTAATATAAAGGTAAAATAAAATCAATTAATTAAAACATTACGAACAATAATAACTCATAAATATAACTAATATTTGGCATATCACGTATAACCACCACTTGATTTTTTGACTTAAATCCAGTGACAATATTATAAAATTAATTAAATATAAAACATTAGTTTTCTGCTAATTGTATTAAACATTATGATGCATTCTTACTTAATGCTATCATTTTCAACCCATAAAGTAGGTTCAACTCTTTATTTTTGAAAAATGATATCCTTTTAAATTTATACTAAATCAACTTCCCAGACAAACACCAATATTTTCAATTCATTCAGAACATAGATTCCTCTATGTAAAATTAATTTATATCTGATTTCCACCATAATGAATATCCTATTGTCCATTTACCATGGAGTAATTTACAATATTTCAAACAATTTTCCTTTATTAAAATTAATTATGTTTTACACTTAAAAACAACTTCACTTTAATTTAATCAAATACATGTATGATAAATAAAATTTTAAAAATATAAAAGACAAATTTAAAAGAAATGTTTTCTTTTACTAATGAACAAATTACATAGGAACTTCTATCTCTTACTTTACAGTTAACAAATTTAATTAACTTTCAACTATTTTACAATATTAAGATATATAAAGATCGTCGTCAACCGCCACAGCGTACGCACGTGTGTTATCTCCGTTTGTGCTCCGCGTTTCTATAAGTATTTACCAGTATCTACCTCTTATCGCTATATCAATCATATAATATGGGTTTATGTGTCACTTGTGCCGTGAGTATTAAACGCGGTCAAAACGACTCGATTACGTGTTCTGCCTGCTCTAAATTATACCACCTTACTTGTGCTTCGTTGAAACAAGATGATATTGACTATTTAAATAGTTTGAATAAATCATGGTCTTGTGTTACTTGTACTAAAAAATCTAAAAATATTATTTCTGTCACTGGTAACTCTATTCAACCTCTTACTTCACTCTCTACTACTGAACCCGACTTGAAATTAATCATCAGCCATCTCGATAACTTACGCGCTGAGCAAGCTAAACTTATTGATTTGGTCAATGCGCAAAATGAAAAACTTAATTCTTTCGACAATAAATTCCACGAAATCTTCTCTCAATTATCAAGTATCAAAAATGAAAATAGTGTGCTTCGTAAAGCTACGGTTTCGTTTCCGCAGTTGACTGCAGCAGTGACTGCAAGCACCCGCTGCAGCGATCGTCGCATGCAGCAGAACTGTTTTTGTTTTTGCAGTCAACTGCAGGCAGTCAAATATTTTAAACATTCATATAGATTAGTTTAGTACGTCACCAACTATCCACCATGGAAGACGTGATATCCTTGGTTGTTCAACATTTAATTGAAGAAGAAGAACGCGATGAACAAATTATAAGTTTACTGTTCTTAAAAAACAGCAAAAGACAAAAAGTACATGATATGTTTATATCCAGGCGAGAGGAAGGGGCGTTTCAAAACCTTATTTCCAAACATCTGATTGATGATGAAACCAAATTTCATAACTATTTTAGATTAACCAAATATCAATTTGATTTTGTATTATCTGCTATTGCAAAGGACGTATTTAAAGCGCCTACAACCACGGTTAAATGTCCAATAACACCGAAGGAAAAACTAGCTGTGACATTAAGGTTAGTAATTATCAATAAAATATATTGATAAAATAATAACACATATTATTAAAATGTTAAACTTTTTAGTTTTTTTTTAAATTTAAGAGACTTTTATTAAAATACCAATATACCTACTAAAAATAACAATGAAAAATGTGGCAATATTATTTTTATGATAAATCGTATAAAGTATAAAGTATAATACTTATTATATATATACTTACTAAAAATAATTTAATGCCAATTGTACAATAATGTTATGTATTTTTAGTAAATTGTATATTATTATTATATAAGATTGAATTAGGTACACATATTATTTATTAAATTATAAAAATAAATGATTATGCAGTTTAATTATAGTTATAAAGAATATAAAAATGAACACAAATTAATTAATTTTTAGGTACTTGGCAACTGGCGAATC